TTTCACCGAACGCTCATTTAGCCGACATCACATAGGGTTAGGATTAAGCATTTGATTAGTTGCGTGTATATATTTTTACTAAATTTCACCTGGCGTGATGTCGGTTAAATGAGCTGTCGGTGAAGTGATTGTCGGTGAAATAATACGGATCAAAGATCGTAGTGTATAACTATTACTAATTATACAGTGTTGAAAATTTAAAGACAGCAATATACAATGCTATTTCTTAGTAAAAAAAAAAAAGCTTTGTTATATAACAAGAATTTAAAATTTAGAAATTTGTTTTTAAATAACTATACCAGATATACCGTATTAATATGTATATAATAACTTAATATTTTACGTGGCATTTAAAACTATCCTAGAGAAGTGTCCGGCTTGGATTACAAGATGCCGACATACAGAATGGTGGATAAACGAGTTGGCAAACGTTTCGGGCTGTAGGAACCATCCGAAAATCTACTAATGGACTCTACGTAGAAAAAGTTAGTAGGGATAAAAACTCTACTATAGCAGATCACACATAAGTATTCTCTGAATAACTGGGTGAGCTGATATTTGTAAAATAGGATTAGCTTTATGTAAAAAGATTTACAATTTTATTTTCTATTACAAGTATGTATCTAAAATATTAGCATGACTGCCAAAAAATATATTTTATGTGGTATCTAAAGTTGATACCCAAACTTTATTCTATTTTGAAACTAGAATATAGAGCAATTATCTAAAATCCAAACACCAGAACAATCTTATAATTTTATTGATGGATTAGCTCTGAAAAGCTTGTGCTATGAGGATTGTTCACCATGCACTGTTAACCCTTATATCTTATTACATGTATTAAATATAGTGAATCTATTCTATTTATTAGATAGAATAGAATAGTATAACGGCTAGATGTACCGTTTGCCACCGCCTACAGTACCCAGGGTCTTATTCAAGAACTCCATTTTTAAAATTGAATAGTACCCGTGGGTACTGTGTGAAGAACCGGGTACTATATTTGGGAGATATCCATATTTAAAAGTAGTAAATCAATATAGTTGTACCCCGGGTCTTATTCAAGAAACAAGACAGTAGGGGTGATGAATAATACCCGGGTCTTAATCATGGGGGCATTATTTTTGGGGGATACTGTAGGCAGTGGCAAACGGTAATAGTCAGCAACCATGATTGATTGAATGTATAAATAGCCCGGTGTCCCTCTAGAAATCGTTAGTTCAAGAACAGTCCTCGACAGTTCTTAACAGTTTTCAACTTAATACAACCTAATAAAGTGTCACTCTAATTAATAAACTTATTTATACGACTACTTGTATCTTCATATACATTTAGCCGTTTGCCTATTTCGTAATTGCAAATCACTTAATCCTCTTAACGCATTTGTTATTAATAATCTAACAAATCCGTCGTTAAAGTAAATCAGTTATACCAAACATACATCAGGTAATTTGGGTGTTATGATTTTTTTTAATTACATTCGTCATTTTTTCTTTCAATTCATCAGTTTTTGTTAGAGTTCTATTTTTATTATAATTAACATTTATCAATTTTGTTGCCGTTGGAATCATCCTTATTGTGTTGCCATTGGAGAGACTTTAGGCTTTAGTCATTTCAGTGTTATTTTGCTGGAAATGTTAGGATTTTGTCGTTTCGGCGTCGTCATTGTGAGGATTCATCGCTTTTTGTGTTTTTTATAATTGGATTTTTTTGGTGCATTTCATCGTTTCGATTTCATTGTTTTCTGTGCCTTATTGTCATTAGCCAGAATTTACCATGTGTTTCGAAATTGGTGTGATTTTGGTGCTGTGCTGGTGCGCCATGTTAGATGTCTAATTTATAGTACAACTTACACACACTTTATAGCGATGTGATCCGTTTCATTAATAAGATTTTTAAAAATTCATATCGGAAGAATTTTATATAGACCGTCTTTGAGTTCACTATATCAAAATTTTAATTATGTCGAGAATTCACTATAACATTTAAAATTTTAATTTTTGAATGTATTGAGGTTCATTTTTATGATGTGATAATAAATAAATCAGAATTACCAACGCTTAATTACGTTACGGGTCAAATGGATCAATTAAAAAACCCCGGCCGGCATCAACATAATTCCGGCCCGCCCTAACCTAAAATTCTGCTAGGGATCAATTTGACTGACCGAGGTAAAATCGCCACCCAAGTTTCGAACATCACGTGGCAAATATATCGAGCACCAAAAATTCATGTAACTTGAACAAAAAATACAAACGAAAAA